TATACATAAATACTTTCAACAAGTCTGCTAAATCCACAATAAAAATCAAGTCAATAAATTAATAAAGATATAAAATTTAGAGTAAATTATTGACAAAAGTTACAAATATCATAAAACAACAAAAACTACAACAGCTTTAGAGAAACTATGAGAAGGCACATACAAAAAGGGTTTCATACGTATAGAACGTTGACCCATGACACTGGGGGTGTCGATTATATAGGAAGGCATGTCCTTCAAGGGACGTGAAAATTGAGTTGGATTATTGGAGAAAAAAGTGGTTTGTTGTTGGTCGTCCCTCTTCCTAATCAATCATCTTTTGGTTGAAACCAATGTTGAAATGTATTTTGAAGACGAAGCTTCAAGATGTATTGGAATGGTCACGTGTCGCTAAATTAACCGGGTGCTATCCAATTCGCATACGTCTATGTCGGTTCCGAAAGGCGGCATACGGACCAGAAGTTACCATTAACTGGCATTTCTCTCAGACTATTTACGATGCCCTTCGGTTGAACCCTTTATTTTTACCCATCAATCAATGTTATAACATTTGCATACAATTTGGGTGGGCGAATAAAACCCTATACGAAGGTCACTTGACGTCATTGACCTTTAAAAAGTACAAGATTATATAATTTCGTATGTATCAGGAGAGAGATTGAGACACAGTGAATACTGAATAGTGAAATACAAAATGATGTTTGCAAACGAATTTATTGTGAGCATATATTGATTTTGCTATAGTGAGCCTGATTTATCTAGAGAATCTATTATTAGAAAGTGGAATCTGGAGATTCAGGAAAATCGGGTGTAAAGGGCTTTAAGTGGGTTTTCGGGGTCGCCAAGTCCGAATCTGGTACTAAATCTATGGGGATGGATGGGGATGAATTCGACAGAGGAACTGTAATCTCCGGAAAATCAAGATCAGAGGGCTTCTCGGGTATTTTCGGGGTCGCTATGCCTCAATCTGACACTAACTTGTGCCTGATATGATCGGGGGTGGCTCTACGGTGGCATGAAAGGGTGCATTCGACCAAATATTGTAAAACCAGAAATATTGATTTAAAATGACTTTTTTAGTTCCGTTTTTTGAGTTAACAAGTTGTCTTTGCCACTTCAAAAAAAGCTGTTGTGCCAGTTACTAGAGGGACCAGTGAATATATTATCTACTAGACAAGGAGGGGGGTTCTGAGGGCCCCTTTCCGAGTAAAAAATGAATTTTTCACATTGCTACTATTTTCAAATTGTGTTCACATTTTCAATGATTTCTCATTATAAGAGAGAAAGAGAAAGTAGAAGAATACAACTTTCCAAATTTAACAAAAAATTGTGAGAACATTTTTGAAATAACCCTCTTAAATGACTATCCTAAAGTAGCAGAATTTCAAAGCTACTGAAAATTGTTTTATCGGTTACTTTGGACATGTTGCGAGACTATGTTCAAAAATCCCCAGGAACATGGCGGCCAGAGAGAAATCGCATTTTTCGGTTCTCCCCTTGTATCTCGCTTCTTGTTAGTCGTAGAGTCCGATCACGATAATTGTTTCCTGAGCCAAGGGTGGTTTGAAAAATTACCCCGGCAACCAGACGTTGTTGGAAACTTTGGAAACTGTGCTAATATTTATGAAACAAAAACTGCAGTCAAACGCGTTAACATGTCCAAGAAGATGACTTCTGCCGATCTAATCAAAACATTAAGGGCGGTCAACCAGGATCTCCTGAAAACAATCTGTCGGAGAAACATTCGTTACAAATGCTTCGGCACCGACTCCGAGGAGGAGAAGGAGGAGCCGAAAATAATAATTCAGAAGATGGTGATCCTCCGACCAGCTTCGGCAGACATGCCAAGTCTCGGAGGCAACACCGGGACTGATGCTGACCCAAAAGAAGACGAAAAAAGAAGGAAGAGACGAAAAGGGAGACTGAGCCGAAGGAAGAGGGACTTGTACCGGCGACTTCCGGTTTTGGGAACAGAACCTTTGCTTCCTCCCCAAAACCAGGGGGGGAATGTAACAGATCACTGATTTGTTGGTTATTTTGGTTGTGTTAGAATTGTGTTATGTTACATTGGAGGTGGAGGTGTACCCCACGGAGGTGGCTTGCAACCACTCTTTTAATCCCGCCGGGTGACGATCCTTTTGCTAGAAGTTGAAGGCAAGCAGAGAGGAATGCAAGCATAGTCCATCTCACCAATTGATCAGATAATACCAACATAAACTTTTGCTACTGAGTCTTGGTTGCGCAGTGAAAATAGGGTTAATTGCTGTTTGCTAATTCACTCAACTTCACATCGTACATTTGCCTTGTAAAAAAATGCGTGGTCAATATACCCTTGATTAATACTCGATTTTCATTTCTTTTCTACCGTCACAGAACTCAGTATCCACAAACTTATGATAAAAAAATACACAACGTGGGAACATGTTTGAGGTGTCGAATTGAATCTCGATACTTTTCGAAGATGATAAATACTAGACGATTACATGAAATATTGTTATAATTCTATATTTAGACAACACCCGGGTGGGTATGGTATCAATATGCAGAGTCAATGCATATGCGACCATGTGCTTTCCCAAAGTTATCGTGGTCGGACTCTACAACGGATAATCGTACCGTATGTGTCGGCACTAAAAGTGATATTCTGTCGTTCTGAACTAACTGAAAAATCTCACTTGAACTGAACTGAATCAGTTGACATTTAGTGGTGAATCGAAGTGAACTAGAAGAACCTATATTTTCTTCGATTACATTGTTCAGTTGTCAAGTTCAAGTAAAATCTGTCATTTTAGAATTCAAATTGAAGCGCCAAAACAAGTTGAAAATGCCCGAACCCCATAAGAAGATAATCTTACGTGATGCTGATAATAATATAAAATACTCCGTTTTTTCATCCCACGAAGATGTAGACAGATGCAAAAATAGTAATGTCATAACGAAATTGATGACCTATTCATGTAATATGTTTATAGATTTGGCATTTGCAAACTCTCCACTTTTTCATGTGAAATGTACTACATCGTATTTGAATAAAGCTCAGACAGTCCAGCAGCAAACACATTCTTCACAGCTCTGTCCAGAAGACATACTTGATGTGGAACATGATAATGATTTTTGGAACCCAGTGGAATCTGAAGAAAAACTTTTGCCCTCATATCAGTTTATGAAGAACATGTTGAAAACTTCAAAAATGCAAAAAGACGAATGAAAGTCTAGGAGAAAAATCCGAATGTATTGAAAGGAATTGGGATTCCTCATGATGCTGTTAGGTGTGAAGTTGAATGGGAGAATCTATAGAAAAATATAAGTATATTAAAGATACAAAAAAATACTGGACGAGGAACTTTTAAATTCTATATAACGACAGACTAGATATTAAAATTATAATATTAAGCGACAATTAAGTGAAAGACCAGCTATTAAAATGTACCCATACATTCAGTTTGCCAATACTTTCACAGCTTTCATTATATATTTCTAAAAATGTAATCATTATTTATAACAATAATAGTCTTATTGTGTGATGTGTTTGACACACAAATTACTTGAAATGAACCATCTCAACCGAACCTTTTTTTTTATTCGTTTAAACATGACAGCTGGATCGATGATACACAAGTTCAGCTTTATCACTATCAGTTTCACTTTGATCAGTTCAGTTAGAGGGTTCAGAACGAAAGAATGATACTAAAGTTGTAGAGAATCTAATTGGCAGTACCGTGAGCTCTTACAGGGTGTTGTATGACCTACAGGAAGCGAGATACAAGAGAAGAATCGAAAAAATAAGATTTTTCTGGCGTTCATTTTTTTTTTCATGGTTGTGAATAATTTTCTCAAAATGTCCCGAGTGAGCTATCAACCAATTTCGAGCAACTTCGGAATGTCGCCTCTTCTGGGGCATATTTCGCTTATTTTACTTGGCTATATGTAATCCCTGCAACTCCCGAATCGTATGCAATGATTTGCAAGTTTTTTCATCCATAGTTTGTGGTTAATTAGCCTTGGTCAACATTTGGAACTTCGTAGAGAATCTACCACATATAGGTCAACGACGTCAAGTGACCTTCGATTAGGGCTGAATTCGCCCACCCAAATTGTATGCAAATGTTTATAAAATTGATTAATAAATAATAGTTATTTATGGTACTAGTGTGTTATGTTGAAAATAAGTCACAACGGCCTCGTGGTATAAATTCTCAAGTGACTTAGAAAACATAACACAAGAGTCGCATACAATGTTTTATCCAACAAGTCGAAGAAATCGTTTTTTATGAGATAATAATTAATAAGTTTTGTGATCAAATCAAAGCTACCTGCGTCTTAGTACCCTATAAATGTCAGAATTACTTGACAGTGACTTTTTTACATTTTGGTTGAAGTAGGTTGTTTGTTAGGTTGCCACGGCATGATACATTGTTAGCAAATGTTCAAATAAATTTTGACACGTCAGTTTTCCCTGCAGAAAAAGGAAACTTTTTTGAAGAAAAAAAAACGTATAGAAAATGGAGGATGCCGATGAAAATTACGTTCCTGAGGATATCCTTACGGAATCGGAAGAAGATTTCGGAGTCTTGGATGAATTCACGGAAGATAAAAGGTATCGATGAAAACGTTCTATTGGCTTATTTTTTACATTTGCAAAAAAATAGCTCCATCGTCGTTATTGACCAAATACTCGATGCTTCGCTCGACTATAATTATAATAATTGATAATGGGGATTAGCGGTGCTTGTAGATGCGATGAATTGGTCAATTTGAAAATAGAAAATATTCAAGACAAAGGGAAATATTTTCACGTAGTTTTGCCAGACACTAAAACCAAGAAATCGAGGAGTTTCACCATACTTGAAGAAGGATTTCCAGTCAACCCGATCACTTTGTGTAAAAAATACATGTCTTTGAGACCAAAGAATACTAATTCTAGCCGCTTTTTTGTTTTTTACAAAAATGGGAGGTGTACCAGCCAGTGTGTGGGAATAAATACGTTGTCGAAGATACCTTCAAGAATTGCAAAGTTTTTGAACTTGGAGGAACCAGCGCTCTACACCGGTCACTGCCTGAGAAGGTCTTCTACAAGGTTCTAATGTGTCGGCGTCTTCCAGCACTATCAGCAGCTGTACCGATATGGGAGCATCTGGTTCCAATGAACCAACGAATTTTACAATGACCTCAAATTTGAATAAACCATTAGCGTTTTCCTTCAATTTCAATATCAATGTGAATCCTGCTTGTAATAGTAATAAATAAATAGAATACTACTTTGAATATGAACGGAGTTATAATACATAACTCACTAGTGAGTTATGGATTATAACACACTTGTGTGTTATTTGATAGTGTACTTGTCTAAAATGACATTAATAATGACAGTCATAACTGTCATATGTTGGATAAATAAAATAAATAAAGGGTTTGATATCAACCCTGTAAAATATATCTACCTACGTATAGCTTAAGAATTTGTGGTGACGGGTTTTATTATATAAGTTATAACAATGAGTTGGGATACAACGGTTTTTGGGAATTACTCATGATAAAGATATCGTTTGTGAATTAGTATTAAGAGAACGGTCGATGAATAAACACGTTAATCGTTAATACCAACGAGTCTAATTTCACAAGGTGCTAACAGGTTCAACCAAAGAATATACCTTCGTAAATAATCTGAGAGGAATATCGGTTAAAGGTCTGGTCCGTATGCCACACCTCGGGACCGATCTAGACGTATGCAAATCGGCTAGCGCCTGGTTAATAAATGTGACTATTCAATTACATGTTGAAGCTTCGTCTTTAATACAATTTTTAGTATTGCTTTCAACCAAAAGTTGATTGATTACAGAAAGGGGCGATCGGGTACCGATCCAACAAACGACTCTACCCCAATAATCCAACTCAATCTTCACGTCCCTTGGAGGGCATACCTTCGTAGATAATCGACATCCCTAGTGTCATGGGCCAACGGTCTATTATATTTTTGGTTCTAGATACTGAGTCTAATCAAGATTCAAAAATAATTAATCGAACTTGTGTGTGATCAGTGGAAACCTGACTATCCTCAGCTGCTTGCCATAGTCACACAAAACGGCGTCCCGCAATAAAATCAGTTGATTAATAAAAACGAAAGATGATCGCCCGAGAGTTATCGTTCTGACACAATCACCGGTTCGAACGTCCCAAATAACCAGACCGCCGCTTCTTCCCGTAACCACTAAATGTTGCGCCAACATGAGAACTTGATTCGAGAACGTCTGCGCAACGTATATGGTGTTCAGCAGATGGCCTTGGAAACGTTCCCAGACACACAGACGATCGTCCGTGCCCAGGGATATTACGTAGCTGGACGAGTACGTCAGAGATGTAATGCTGCCATTGTGGGCTTGAATACTGTACACGCAAGCACCTGGAGAACAAAATATTCAGGATATCTTACACATGATACATTCTATATTTGTCCTAAAATTATTCTAAACTGATGTCATCAATACGATTTATGAAAGTGAAGATGAATACCAATTACAATAATTTCCAATTTGGCAAAAGATCTTTATGTCCCAAATACACTGACAATTTTTTGATTCGAAATATTGATGTTTTCACCTTATTTTGACTCAATATCGAAAATACACCCATTTTTTGCTTTTTCAAAAGAGTTGGGCTTTTTCTTCGTTGATATCTCTACTTTCTGGTGGTGTAATATTTATGTATCAAGGGCGTAAAGTAGGCGTTTATGGCCTGTGGCGTGAATAATGGCCCGATGGCGCTAGCCGAGGGCCATTACACGCTGAAGGCCATAAACGCATTTCACGCACGTGATACATACAAAATTTTATGCACTAGTGGTTTTTTTCTTGACTCAAAAGTAATGACTATAGATTTCGATAAACTAATATTCCCCCGAATTTAATTTGTTACGTATAAATTCAGTAATCAAGAGTAGCGTAATGTTCATGGATAATTTACATATGAAAATTATAGTACGAATATTGCAATTAATCGTAAAAGTAAAACTCTTTGATCTCTAGAAGAGATTCATTCTTCAGAATTTCACAATATGCATACCCAGTATATTATATACCTAACTAGCTTTGACGTTGTCAATCAAGCTGATGGTTGTTGTCTATAGCAATACATTCAATAAACGAGCTGAATTGTCATTCTTTGACTGAAAAGTAAAAATTAGTGATAATAATAATAGCGAGACTATGGAATCGGATGAAGAAGAAGTTTATGATATACCGCTGGATATATTTGAATCTAGGAAAATGATCATAGGTTTTTCATGAATTGATATGTGGATATAAGGTAACTAAGAACAGCGGGCGGTAAAGTGCACTTTACGGCCCGTGGGCCATAATGAGCCCGCGGGCGGTAAAGTGTGACTTAACGCCCGCAAAACCGGGCGGTAAAGTGCACTTTACAGCCCGCTAGTGCATACAAATATATACATTACTAGGGTTAAAGGTATCAGAAAATGCAAATAAACGTAGAAGCAGCAATAATTGCGGTCCCCATTTAACTTTTTCAATAATATGAATAATATGTAAACATAACTGTTTTCCTCCAGAACAGTACCCCTATGTAACAATAATGCTGATGATGAAGCTTTAAAGCTTCGAAACATATCCCTGTAAGATTGCTTACAATAAAGTATAGCTTTGGTGAAGTCGACTGTAAGAATTTTGTCCTGTCATAAATGAAATTGTTGCCCAGTCTGTTGGCTACCTGCGGTAAGTTATTCTCCAAAATCTCTAAATAACGGAAGGCGTTTACCGTGCTGTTAACAAAAACTGTTAATTCTGTTCGGTCACCTGTGTATATTCCTCCCCACACTGTTACAGAGCCACCTCCATATGGGATTCTATCTGAGGAACAGTTTTCCGCGTATCTTTCTCCTGTTCTGCGCCACACACGAATCTGATTATCGTCGCGGTGGAGTGCAACTGTTGATTCATCAGCAAATAAACACTGTGACCATTCGGGTAAACCCCAGTCAACGTTTTCGTTCCTCAGCAAAAATCATTCGCGATCGTCTATGTTCTCTTAATAACTGGGGATGCCTATATGGCCGTCGTGAATTCAAATTAACAGCTTCTAAGCGATTTCGGATAGTTTTTGTAGTAATGTTCACATTTTCTGTTACCTGGACTCGAGTTTTAAGTTTCGTAGACGTAAAAGTCCTATCGTTGAGAACTTGACGTACAATGTAACGGTCGATCCTAGGAGTAGTTTTTCTTATAGCACCTTCTCCATGAGTGTTTTGATATCTGCGTCATGCCATTGATAATGCACTTTGATGAATATGCACTCTTTCAGCCTCTCTTTGTGATATGCCACTTTCCAGCAAACCAATTATTGCTCGCTTGAGTTCGTGAGCGTTATATCTAGGCATTGTGACGATCAAATTAACACCCATTTCTCAAAAAAAAAACTTCTCATTAAAATGTTGTTTATTGTGAGTGACAGATTACACACGATGCGATTTTGTTTCAAAGCCAACTTGGATAATTTGAAGAATTAACAACCGTAAAATCTAGTGTTTAGAAAAATCGCTATAATTTAGAAACGAATACAGATAACAACGATTTCCGAAAAACATATTTTCATGCTCATTTACGACTAACCATTGACATGTTGATGAACATCATTTCAGAAATTGCTGATCTGCTAAGAGATGTAGTTCAATTTCGTGTGAAAAACACTTGTGCATAAATCACTCGGTATATTATCTTCAGTAATGTTTCATGACGCATAATCTGCCCTATTATATGACTCAATAATGAATTATCAAGACAAAAGAAAGTGTATCTAAATGGCTTGTAGAGATCAAAAAATAATTCAGATACAAATATTACGACAATCTTGTTTGAGTCGTTTCAAGTGTATTTCTCATCAGGAGCTTCATTCACGAAATTATCAAGTTGTTCTGGCGTTAAGGTTTTTGCTTTCTAGCTACATGTTTCTCTCATTGGCGTTTAAGAAAAGCACGTAATTTCAAATAATTCTCTATATTGATTCCATTATTTATGTTGTGTGTCCATCGAGACGACGCTTTATATTTAGTGCTAAGTTAAAATATGCCAAAATGACAGTTTCTGTAAACAATGACTTTATGTTTTTACTGCTTAACCAACCTTGAAAATTCTTGTATACACCTTTATATTTGTTTTGGGATTTTTCGGGCAATACATTCTGTATGGTAACTGCTTGTGTAATTTCTGGAGGTGTACATAATAATTCATCTTCACTATCTGAATTCATGTTTTTCATCAAAAAAATCACAATAAATAAACATCAACTTGATTTGGAAACGTCAAAATTATTTAAGTAACATTACTTCCGTCAATAACTTTAGGCCACCCGCGGCTGAAGAGAAGTGAAGAACCCCCTTGATATTCGGTTCGTAAATAATTCCAAGAATCTTTTCCGATCTATTAGAGTGACTTATCATGGCTCACGTTGTTTGTTTACAAATACTATTAATTGCTGGAAAGCACTTGAATAATTGAAATATAACATAAAAGCATCAAACGTCTTCTAGACACTCTACACTAAAGACATCTACCACCCTCACCTGTAAACAGATCCCACACGCAAAGCATCCCCTCCTGCGACCCGCTGCCCGCCGTCGCCGGGTTCACCCTGTCGATGAACAGACACGTGACCGGACCGCAGTGGCCGTGCAGCGCGTAAAGGGCGGCGCCGTCCTCCAGTCGGAACGCCTTCAGCGTGTGGTCCTGCCCGCCCGACAAGATGCGCCCGCCCTCGCAGTCTAGGCAGGCGATCGGCTGCTGGTGCGCCTTGATCGTGTGCAGTTTGATGCACCGCAGATCGTCGTCGGTCTCAGTCTGCGGACATTTCATGAGAAATAAATTGTAACCACCCAAGCCAGTTCGCTTGGTAGAATATTTCATCATGATCAAGAGTATTGATTCATTTTGGAAGTCATTTTCTTATTTGAGGATCATAGTTAGTGCTTCAGTTCATGACTACATTAATGAGGGTTTAATTTCTATGAGTAGTTGCATTTTTTATCAGAGGAATAATAAATTCTATCATTCCAACTTTGGATTGTATCCTAGGTATGGTAAGACCTTGTTGGATACTCGATTCTACAGTGTTGTGCTTTGTTACGACATCAGAAAGCTTGGTAAGTAATCTGAGCTTCGATTTGTATCGATTTATTCCAGCTACAAAGGCAGGAAGAGTCTGTTTTGTGGAAAAACGTTTGACGCTGTCAGACGTCCATGAATTCACTTCAAATCTGAAGTAGAACCACAGGGACAGACTTATAAGTATGTGAAAATAGATACCTGATCTTTGGACATCGTATGTTCACAGCTAGAAGCCTCATACCGCAGGGGAGCACCATGAAATGGGACCAAAAAGGGGCCAAATCCAGGTTTGTTTCAATAAAAGAACATCAGTAACCATTGAAGTGGTCCTAGTGACAATCACAACAAACGGTTTCTCTATAAATAGCAGCCTGAGCCACGATATTTTCAGAACATTTCCAACCTTCGAAGAAGTAACATCTCCAGAAATAAAAGGAAAACATGGATGATTACCAGACCTCTTAAACTCTCTCAACCCCTTGAGTCCAGGTCTGTTCAATAACATTCACCCCTGCTTTACTGTAGGCACCTCCTGTGTCTTTGTAGGCCTCCTCACGAACTCAGTTTGTAGGAGTAGGTGAAGTAAATAACCTACATAAGAAATCTGACACCCGAGAAATCCGAAACAGGTACCAGAAGTTTCTGTACGGAAAGCGCGAGAGTTAAAGCACCCAGAAATAAAGGATCTTACAACACAATGCATAAAAATCATGATCAATAAATTGTTTTCTCACCTTTTTCAAATCACGTTCCGAAATGGATCCAGCGGAAGCAGTTCGTACGTGCATCCTCCTATAGGCGCAAGTAAAGTTCCAGTCTATGGGACGGCCTTGATTGTACGTCTGCAGTTGGAATATTTCTAAGGTACCGCACAATCTCGCAGCCACAACTTTGGCGCCTACTATCTTCAGATGGTTGATGCTGGATCCGGAGCCATCTTCAAATATACACTGGAAAAGAGATTGTCAATGGTGATACCATGAGCGCTCGCAATAATATCGAAAGTAATTATGTCAGAAAACAACGATATCCGATTGTTACCTCGTTTGATGGAATAAAAGATATGAGAGAATTGTCGATAGTATTGAGCACGAATTGTATTTATTGAGACAATTCCATGATTCATATGAAATTGTCATCTCCTTGACATACTAGGTGACAAGATGGAGTATAGTTTATGGTTTATTGGATAATAGCTTCCAGTCAGAAATCAAATTCTGGTATGAGGAAGTAAGACATGTAACGTTTAGAATTACAAAATATTCATATATATTAGATTGAACATTACTAAAAAATAGATAAACGAAAAGGGGAACAAAGAAATAAACCCCTTGAATTGGAGGGCTTAATGTGAAACAATGTCAAGCCTCAGAAAAGTGAACGTGTCAACTCTCATAACATGTTCAAGATGAGTAGAGATGGCGCCATATGTCTTGAAAATCACGTCAAGTCACATATCTTCTTATTGCGAAATGATTTGAAGGTCTTTGTAGGTTGACATGATCTAAAAATTACAAATTTTGAACTAAAAATGTATTAAATCTTCTGAATTTGTATTGGGAAACGTAGAAAATGCTCCGTGACAATGACTTGCACAGATAATTCGTTTTCACTGTATTGCATAACAGTGTCCATATAATGTACATTTTCATTCTCCCGAGCATTCTCCATTGCGATAACCTTGCAATCATTCGTCGTGAAGAATACATGGTAAAGGAAACATTAAAAGAGAACATAACAGGTTCCTGATGTTCCTATGAGAATCATATGCGTAACTGTCCTTTTGTTTTTTACGTTTCGAGAGCGTTGAGACCTTGGTTGAGACAGTGTAAATGAATTAAGTTTCGGTTTTGTTCCCAAACCACAAGAAGCATCTCAACGAAACTAATTGTTCAGGTTCAAAATAACGTCGTTTAGCTCCGTGTCTTTGATTGAATTGGTTTTCCATGTCTGAATTCACTTGAGATTCATTTATACTGGTAGATGGTAATACCAAATCCATAAGCGATCTGGTTTGACGTCCAAACATCAAGTGAGCTGGTGATTTTCCTTCAGGAGCATTTTTATTTGGTGTTGACCGATACGTTTGAAGGAATGTAACGATAATATCTAGTAAGGTCGCCAATGCTTCAGAATCCATCCCATCCTCGTCGCCAACTGTTAGCTATCGTTGTATTAGATAGAATTATCGTTATTTTCTAAAATCTGACTGACAACTCTAGATATTTATTTGACAAATTTTTGACTGACTTATACATAGCTAACTCGTTTCATATGTATTCAACATTCTACTGAGTGGCTTTAACACATACCAAGAAAAAATATTGAAATTTTAAATGATCAGTTTTTCTTTTTCTGAGGTGCGAGCAACTTGAAATGTTTGGTACCCAAATACAAGCGCCGTATGTATCCCTCAGACTCAAATTAGTGCGTACAGGGGCAACCTCATTATTCAGCATACTGCGTTGCAAAACGGTTAATGATTTTTAAATTCTTATAACAATTGAAACACGGATATGCCACTGACCTTCAATTTCCCTGTCATGGCCTCCCAAAACTCCAGCCTTCCATCAGCGCACCCTATCACAATCAAATTGTCCTGATAGTCCATACACCAGATCGGCGAAAGTCTGCACTCCGAAAAATTCGACGAGTCGCGCGCACTATCGCTCCTAGAACTAACATCACTTTTCAAACTCGACCTCGCGCCAAAATCTACATCATCGTTTCCCAAACTTTGACGTTTCTGCGGAGTTTCACTGAAACTCCGCCTTGTAGTCGAATCGTCTCCCAGACAGTCGTACCTGTAATAGACGTGAAAAACTCAAAAGTCATTTTAACAGATTTTCAAAAAATGAACAATGGTAGATGAACAACTAATTTCCTTTCTAATGCCACGCAGAACATTGAATTTCATCCTACCGAAATCTACTCATCAATTGCAAGTGTTTCTTTCCTTAATGTCGATTGTTTTTAGATTGTAGCCAGGTTAACGCTTAAACCACTAGACCAGTTTCTGGCTTTTGACCATCATCAGTGCGAGGTAGTCACCAGCCAGCAGGCGTAGACCTCGTACGACCGCCAACAGAGCGAAATCTGACCCGACAAAATAACAATCGGCATCATGTACCCGCAGAGGCGCCTCCCATAGGCAATATGGATGTAGCACCATCTAGAGTAGAAGGAAAGAAACACTCCAAAACTGAAATTTTTATCTCGGTGGGAAATGGGAGTGGCTCATTGCCTGACTGCCAGGAATGGTGATTATCTTACAGTGATGAGGGCCAAAGATCGAAACCGGTCTGGAGGTGTCAAGTGTTGACCTGGCTACAATCTGAATACAATCGGCAAAAAGGAAAGAAACAGTTATAACAGTCATACATATCGATACATAAATTTTGGGAGAATTTAATTCAATGTTTTGCGTGGCATTTGCCAGGAAACTAGTTGTTGTTTTATTCACACTCAGTAGTATAGGATCCCCGCAAATTCCACTCTCTACTACTAGACTACAAGCCCAGGCTACTGTTGGTAGTGGTCATGTGACCCAGCATAAATTATATTCAGAATTATTATAGTGCCATAAGAAACTACTCCTTTAGGCACTGTGGCGTCAGTTGGGATGGGTGCATATAAGTACAGAGATGAATGAAACTTTCCATCAACAAAATATTTCTATACGGCATTTCTAAAGCTGAATAAATATTGAAAAATAATCAAGTAGCACATAATGCCGTACAAAAATACCGGTACTGAAAGCCAGTATTTTTTTTTTCATTAATATATCCATATAAATTTTTCAGCAACGCTGTACAAATTTGCCGGTACAGGGTTGAGAAGCACCGCACTCATCTCCTAACTCCTAACTAGTACAGTTGGAATCTTTTGATACACACCAAAGTCATTGATCTCATTACTGTTTTATAAAACAATGTCATTTTTTATTATTCCGTACATTTTTCATGGAATATGTGGCTATCTAAGAACACCTTATTTCTCCCTGATAAAGGTAATTGTACGGTAGTCATATTTTATACGGCTTGAACATATTTTTTTAGTAAATGTCACAATAATTATTAACGTAAACATTAATGCATGATAAGCGCATACTCTACACCCTGAAGACAAAAGTACGCGGGAGTGTTTGGTCCTCGATCCAACGAAAATGTTCGGCGATCATATCAACTTGAGAATTTGTGAATGATTAGATGAATTCACAAAATGCCGATCATAAACATATAAGAACTTTCGATTGAAAAGTTGTTGACAGCAATATACAGCGTCACTGGGCATCGAATCCACCCTACACGTTCAGCAATGCCGTCCACTCAAACTTTTTTCCAATTACAGTACCTTACGACATACGCCGAACGGTTAGTAATGATTCGAGACCCCGGGTTTTTTCAATACATCTTCACCCACGCGGCCACCACCCTTTGGTCCACGATTTGGAAGGTGGAATTTGGGGGTTCTTATAGTGCTGAGTGTGAACAAATGAAACACAAAAACACGTTATGGGCTCCCGGTCTACTACCATTGTTGTTCATTTTTTGAAGATTTGTGGAAATTACTTTGAGTTCTTTCCTTGTAATAACATTTCATTCCACTCTGAGCTTTTTGGCTATTTCACAGTTGAGTCGTACCTGTGACGCTGCCTCACATCGAAATTGTGATTGTAGTAGAAGTAGCGATAGGACTTGTTGAAGTCGTATTTCGAATCGGTGTAGGTGGGTGTCGGGTTGTCAGTGTTGTGAGAAAAATCCGTATTTATCTTGTTCAACAGTCGAGGAAATAACTCATCCCGGGACGGCGGCGAGCCAGATTCGTAATCTGAAAGGATGTCGTCGAGTTCTGCAGCTAGATCCACAGGTTTGTTGTCGGAGAAGAAGAATTTGCGGTCGATGTGGGAAATCAGCTCACCTGTGTTGCTATCCCAAACTTTCAGTTGTCCACCTAGATAGGTAATAGTAATTATATGTTTATAGAAGTACACAATGCGAGAATGGTCTTTTGTCCGTGGTCTATACAGGGTGCTCTCAAAGGTGAGCAATTTTTTAGAATTCATTGCAATAGACAAGACCACCAAATATCACCTGAATACAGACTTACCCGACTGATCACACTTTCCCCCTACTACCGTCCACAGTAGCACATTGTTTATCCAGCGCTAGCCATCTGATCCACTTTTTCAATTGTTTTTCTGTGAATTGTTCAATAATGGCGTACGTTTACGAAAATTATAAACCTGCTGATATGTTTTTGATATATGGTGAGTGTCGCCAAAGTACAGCAGCAACATATCGTTTGTACACGGAAAGATTGCCGTCAAGAGATCATCCAAAACTGCGATTGTTCTTGATGGAAAGGTATCGTGACACAGGGTGTTTGAAGAAACTGAGAGGTGGACATGTGGGAAAGCCTGTACCACCCGAAATGGCTGAAACTGAGTAAAACATTCTGGAAATGAAGGGCTTGATGTGAAACAATGACAAGCCTCAGAAAGGTGAAAATGAGATATTTGACTTTGAATGTTGAAAAAAATATATAAAATACAGTAACAACTTCAATGGTTTTAGTCTTATATAGGTCGATGCGTCATGCCCTATGGGACTATAGTTAACAAAAATATTAATGAAATTACCTAAATTTAGACAAAAAACAGGCTATTTTTGAAAAAGTGTGGCATTATTCCAATAAAAATAATTACCCAGAATCTTACATACGACTGCCCTAAATTTCGTCGAATTTTTTCGTTTGATCTCAAACAATGCTATCAATTTTTTTTTATTTCCAACGACTTGTTGGAATTTTTTCGGAAGTGTTTTTCCCTTTTTTTTATTCATTCACCTGAAACAAAATGCAATAATTTAACAAGCCACGTGACATGCCACTACAATAATACTTTATTACCCTTCATTTAGGCAAGATAATAATGTGACAAGCCACATTTGTGAAAAAATATATGCTGCTCAATTTTCATGAGTACTAGGTCCAGAGGAGTTCAAGTCAGAGTGAATCACAGTAGAGTATGGAAGACAATAACAGGAATACTAGGTCCATGGGAGGACAAGTCTGAGTTGCTCACAGTTAAAGTATGGAAGACAAAAAGATAAGAACAATTTTATCCATACCATTATCGAAGAGTACAGGCGTTACAACCTCAGGATCGTGCTGCGAGGGTTGAATTTTGTATGTTGCTTCTGAATCGCAGAATACATTTCCAGTAAAGATTGTCATGTTTGAGCTGGGCTTGTCGATGGCATGCTCATCATGCCATTCTTTCTTTCACCCCCAACATCAGGTTAAAAGTACTTAGAATATCAACAAATCAATTTTTTACATGATAGAGCATCTACCACATTTCAGACAAGAAGTTCGCGATCATTTGGATAACGTGTTCCCCAATATGAATAGGTGGATATTGCGTAATAGAAAATTTATTGACCTGCATGCTCCGTGGACCTAGATCCTTACAATGTCGGTCTTTTTGAGACTTGGTGTATCATTTCGGAGAAGTAAATATCACGTAAGAATTGAGACAGCAAATAAAAACGCTTGTGGAGTTGTTCATGGGCAAAGAGATGGGATTTTTGCCGGAGTTTTCGAACTTAGTTATTTTGTAATTTTAATATGGTACATTTTGGTGATATTGTCTATTTTGATGAGTTCTACATCCTGTTAAAAAATGCCCAACCTTTGAGAACACTCTGTATATTAGTATTTATACTACTAGCAGATATTTTCCTAGAATGTTTTTTTGACAAATCCTCAATTTCTTTGGGCGTAGTTTATGTTGTAATTCAAAGTCGTTGAGAGCTGTCAGATGTGTGACATTGCACAATAGAAACGAATTCGAAGTATTTCCGAGAGGTTTTTATTATCAATAAGTAGAAGTGTATATTCTCAACAACCAATATTGAAAGGAAATAAATTCTTGGGTCGAAAAATTATTTCACCACTAGCCCTAGATCTACCACTACTTATAGAGTAACATCCAAATACATTTCCAACCACCTACTATCACAAATCAATCAGACTGAAGTCGAACGTTTCCTAGAGTTTGATAGAAGGGTTCTGTTTCAACAAATTATAAATCTAGTTTGCTTTCACCCCACAGATTCCAATCGATGGGCCGTCAATACAGGGTTTTTCAGGATGAGCGTTGCCGCTTCCACTAACAAAAAATAGAAGTAACTTTGATTTTTCAAATGGAACACCCTGTATTATATGGCATTTTTAGATTCCCCCTGAAGAGCTGATTTCATCGATGTATCACTTGGGGTCTAGCGGGAATGATTACAGAGATATAGGGTGTTCAAATTCGAGATTTTTCAACTTTAGGATTTTTTGTGTCGAAACTACTCATTATTGGTCATACCGGCTTTATATCAACTCCAAATTTACTACCTACTGGCATTTACTTGGAACAGATACAGGGTGATCAGAATTCTGAATCTTGAACCACCCTGTATTTGTTCCAACTAAATTTCAGTAGATAGTAAATCAAAAGTTAAGATGGGGACATGTAAGCCGTTTTGACCAATAGTGAATAATTTCGACACAAAAAATTCTTAAAGTTGAAAAACCTCGATTTCCAACACCCTATATCTAATATGTAGTTAATAATGTAATAATTCCCGCTAGACTCCAAGTGTGAGAATCTAAAAATGCAATGAAATACAGGGTGTTCCATTTGAAATATCAATGTTGCTGATACCTTTTAGTATCGTTAATAATATTCATGACATTTAGATCATGTCAATTTAGTTATTTGAATATATCATCTAATTTCCAGATTGAAATGTTGCTTGGTTGCCAAAAAACGTCTAATAAATTCTAATCGTGAAAAACCCTGTATGCTGTCCAATCGATTGGAATCTGTGGGGTGGAAGCAAAGTGGATTTATGAGATGATGAAATAGAACCCTTCTATCAAACTTCAAAAAACGTTCAACTTCAATCTGTTTGATTTGTGATTGCAAAAGTTTAGAAATTTGTTTGGATGTTTGTCTCTGATGTCAAAAGTACCATTGATGAGCCAAACATATCCGCTTGTGTGGAATATTCGAACTTATAAGAGGTCGCAAATAAACTAATTCGTTGAGTAAGTAGACTAGATAATAACTCTCACCCAAACAGGCACTAACGATATTCGCTCCGTCAGCCGTCACGCACTCGATCTCCTGCTGATGCCCCTCCAGCATCACGGGCACGGCCTCCAGCAGGACCTGCTCGTCCTGCGACTCCTCCGCCCTCTCGTTCGACCAGGAGGCCCTCCATTCGGCGTAGTTGCGCGAACATACGCACCGGTACAACACCACTAGGGCGTAAGCGAGCACGACGACGCTGATGACGCATAGGATGGTGGTCAGCAGGATTTCCATGGGGGAAGTGGGGTAGAAGGGCTGCTCCGATTGGGGGACGGTGGTCCCCATCGCAGACTCGCTGTCTGGAATAATTGAGAAAATAAAGAACCTGTTAGTGGAACATTGAACCACTTTGAGAATTACAGGTGTTGAGATAGACTACCGAATCCTGACGTGGTGTTTTTCTGTAAGCTTTGACGAAGGGGTATATGCACGACTAATAAGGTATGATTGTTGAATCTACTCATACACCTTTATACATAAGTCACTAGATGGCTATGAAGGCTAGATCGTCCTTCGGCACCCTCAGGGGTTCGATTGGTATAATATATTGAGGTACCCTTCGTGAATCGATTGTCAGCTGGCCTAGTGCAACTGATGAGGCTTACGACAAGCCGAAACAGTCTTTCTTGCATCAATTGACAATCGATTCACGAAATTTCCCTAGAATCTTAGTCTTGAGATTCTAGGTTTATCACCATTTGTTAGTGGAACATTGAACCACTTTGAGAATTACAGGTGTTGCGATAGTCTATGCAAGACTTACTCGCAAGGTATTATTGTTGAATCTACTTATACACCTTTACACTTAAGCCACTAGATGGCTATGAAGGCTAGATCGTCCTTCGGCCCCCTCAGGGCTTCGATATGTATAACGGACATGAAGAAAAAAATGATTTTTTCCACCATCTCGTTCGACTATGAGGCCCTCCATTCAGCGTAGTTGCGCGAACATACGCATAGGTAAAACACCAATAGGGCGTAAGTGAGCACGACGACGGTGATGACGCAGAGGATGGTGGTCAGCAGGATTTCCATGGGGGAGGTGGGGTAGAAGTTCGCCTCCGATTGGGGGATGGTGGTCCCCATCGCGGATTCGCTGTCGAGAATCATTGAGAAAATAAAGAACCTGCGGATTTTTTTCCTGGAAATGATGCAATGCCACATGGGGTGCAACATGGGGACATATTTGACTAATGATGACGAATTCCCATTAAAACCTGTACCTATCTCTTGAAAGGAAATATTCTCAGATATATAATGGACATGAAAAAAATATCGACTTTCGGCCCTCTCGTTCGAACAGTAGGCCCTCCATTCGGCGTAGCTGAACACACGCACCGATACAACACCACTAGGGCATAAGCGAGCACGACGACGCTAATGACGCAGAGGATGGTGGTCAGCAGGATTTTCATGGGGGAAGTGGGGTAGAAGGGCTGCTCCGATTGGGGGACGGTGGTCCCCATCGCGGATTCGCTGTGAGATCAGTAACTACTACACACAAGAGTGCTATTATTATAGATCCATAAATTCTACTTTTTTTTGTGTAATGTGTAATCAGCAGCTATAGTATTTCGAAATTCCCGCTGCATTTAGAAAAGTGCTGACATGCACTGTAATGATCTAGTCTCTGAGAGATACGTACTTATATTTCGAAAATTATAAATATTGTCGAATGTCAGTCCGTCTAAGCAAAACGTAAGCCTAAATGGTCGAAGTTACGAACTTATAGACGCTGGATTTGATTTCCTCACTTTCAATCAATTTTCCCATGTTGAAACCCATGTGTCATTTATTTATAAGACACATTTCCACCGACCTTATACAGTGTGACCAAGATAAGGTTGCACAGCATGGGGATCTCGGAAACGGGAGGATATGAATTTGGTTAAATGGAAAAAAAAGGTACGCATTCCGAGGGTCATACCAATGGCCTTCAAAAAAATTCAATATTGTTTATACTTCCTCAGCTACTATCGAAAAAAGTAAGTTTTTGGAAAATCTTTTTCTTGGAAAATCTTTTTTTTTTTTTCGTTTTTTAGAGATATAGATAAACTAAAAATATTTTTCAACGCAACTTTTGACGTGGTGATATTGATTTATCTACGCGACATTTCGCATTCATAGAACCATCAACTTTTTTTTCCAACCACGGTCCTGATTATGTGATCACAGATTCTGAAAGCTTTTTTGATTCTGAATTCAACCATGTTTTATACAAGGTGGTTTGAATAGTTTTCGGCCTAGTTTTAGCCGTCATCAATGTTTCTTCAAAATCCTAAAGAGGAAATACCATCAGTTCCACTTATTTCTGATCGTTCGGTGTTAAACAATGATGTAGTTACTTAATACGGAAAAGTGAAAAAAAAAATACCCGTAAATTATTCAAAGCAGCGGTTCAAATTGTTTCATGTTGATGGATTCATACACGAATTACCTTGACAACTAAACTTTGACAACACGAACAGTAATTGAAATAAATTAACATTCATAGGAAATATTCAAAATTATTTGCGTAAACAAAGTATTTAACGTATCCCCAAAGAAAAAAATCCAGCGGTGTCCAATCAGGTGATTGCACCGGTCAAGGAACTGTAGAATAATTTGACATAGTTTCCTTCATTTTCAGTATTGAATAACTACTCCATCAATTTTTGACACTGCATGATCAGAAATAAGTGGAATACCCTCTTTGGAATTTCGAAAAAACATAGATGAAAAAAAACTTCTATGTGGAAAATGTAAAAACTTTACAAACGATAAGATTTCCACAAAACTCTCAAACACACCACATGTTTTGCTAACACAGTAGCTTCATCAGGTGATATACTGGTACAGTGAACCAAACTAACCTTGAAAACCTTTGAAAAAGAAAACAAATTCAACACACGCCAACCATATATTAGAAGAAAACCATAGTTTTGATGATAATTTCGAAATTCTACACGTAGAAAATAAAGGAATAAAACTCAATCATTTTGAAACATTAGATAGACCTCAATAGTTCACCACTGTTGAATTTGTTTCTAATATGTATTCCCTATCAACCCTTTCAAGTTAATCCGGTACACCGTATTTAAATGTAGATATTGTGCCTAATTTCCGAAAATGAAGGTTTATCGAACCTGTCCACAAGTAACTAATCCTTCAGGTTGGGAAAGTAGGATATATAAAAGTTAGGCAAGCCAAGTTTAGTTCATTTTTTTTAATATATCGCTACTTCAAAGTTGGGAACAAACTCCCCAGAAGTCGAAACTTGTGCGTGGTTTGGAAGAGCGGGGCCTACAGCTGATAGTGGAATCCGAACCACTTCTAGGGCATCGAGGTGCTGCCAGGATTCCGACCATGAATCACACATTTTGAAGAAAAATGCTCAGCCGATAGCCGGATTCGAACCGACAGTACCTTCGCATCGTGAACGGCTATCTAGCGAATTTCGGCGCATAGACAAACTCGGCCATTGTACCAGTATATCACCTGATGAAGCTACTGTGTTAGCAAAACATGCCGTGTGTTTGAGAGTTTTGTGTAAATCTTATCGTTTGTGAAGTTTTCAGATTTGCTATGGATTTCCATCAAGTAACGGCCAAGTCAATTCAAAAAATACTATGTGGAATTTATGGATCGATAATAATAGCACTGTATTGTGTAGTAGTTAACGATCTCATATTCGAAAGGTTGCAACTTTTTATTATTAATTTCACGAAGAAAATAATTCTTAATGATAAATTCTGAAACCAAGAATGCGAGTATCAGATATCCATTTGTTTTTGTATACGAGGTATAAGAATATGAATTTTGTCCAAGAGTAAAGTACCTTCATTTTTTAAACATGAAAATACAAGTTCATTCAAGAACTTAGAAAGGGAAGATGGATATGTTGAGTGCGGAAAAACTCAATCTGGATAAAAGCGCTTTTGAATTTAATTGCAAGATATCGATAGAAATTAAAAATTATGTCCAGGTGCACTTACTGCAAATTCGCTTACTGACATTTTTTACAAACTGATATATTCCAAAACTTGATTTTTACACGTAAATAATTTAGATACCAAGTTATTCGTCATGTTGTGTCGTTAAACAATATTAACAAAAACTGGTATGGGTTTGTTGTCTTTACGCCCCTTTTAAACTTCTTGAATGGATTTAAAAAACTTGAAAATTAAAAATATTTCAACGCAGGAATTGCTTGTGAGAATTCAGTAATGATTTGAATGATTCATCAAAAATATTTTCTGCTTACTTTAGCAAATGTTACCAATGATTAATTTCTTTGAAAAATATTACATACATACTTACATTAAAAATCACTGGAACGCTGTTCAACAATCATGCAAACCCATTGAAAAGGGACATTTTATCTATATATATCATGTAGATTTACAATTCGACAAGGAATAAATACCTCTACTACATTTATAAACATTGAAATATGATCTATTTCAATGCGCCTTAACGACACATAAAAGAATGTTTATGTGTGACTAATTCACTGGAGTAGTTACCCAATTTATATACTGATAATATAATACAAGTTTCATAGCATCATAATGAAAGATTATTGCCTGATAAAACTAACATTTATCCTTCCTGCAAAAACCGTTTCGCCATCAAATAATATTATGTAAACAGATATTTATTCTTCGCAAATGACTTTTTCAGATGCAAGACTACTACAGAAAAAACATGTTTTTTAAATGTTGGCTGCCTCTTTATATCTCGATTTATGTCAAATAAGAAAAAACATATTTTTGCATCCTTCTAAACAAGAAAAAATGCCTCCCTTCATGAAAGTCACGGCCAACTGCGATCTTCATTCGATGAAAACATAACTTCAAGTCAAAACCAGATTCTTATAGAATATATTTCAAATTTTCAAGGAATTAATTCAACTGAAAGAGTGCTCAAAGAAATCGCAAATAATTTACCTATACAAACATCGAAGCTTGCCCACCCAGAAAAAAACTATATTGAAATAAGGAATTAAATATAAAGGAATGATTCACCACTATCCGAGGAGGTTAGACCCTATCTTCCGATAAGATAATCTATCATTTTTTGCCTCACCTCATAAGCCATTGATGTATTCGTCGATTGTATTTGGAATATCGCTTGAATTATCCAATTCCCTTCGTTCTCATCCTTGAGATATGTTCCAATACTTACCTCCTCTCCCTATCCTGCCTAGGTACGCACGATGTTCTCCGAACATTATACGGATTCCCTTCCGTGCGCCCCAGGAGATGATAAAGGGATTCTTGTACAGGGTGAGAGAAACTCGATGTCTCAGCTCTATCATAAGTAAAAGGAAAAACGACAGAAGATAATCTGAAAACAGGTTCTCAAGTGGAGTTTGGTAAGGTTCATTTCAAGCCAAAGTTACAATGACTACTTGAAAGACGGTTTTTGTTGCGAAGGTAAGATCCTGATTGATTAGAAACTGATTGAAACAAGGTGATACTGAGTGATGATATGCTCAAGAGGATAAAAATCAAAGCAAAGTACGGACATTCATAAGAACCGATGCCATATCCTCCCTAAAAGCGGAGACAGCACAGATACGGTCAGTTTTAGAATACTGTTCTCATGTATGGGGTTCAGCACCCAAACATACGCTAATGCTCTTAGATTCCATCCAGAAAAGAGACATTCGCCTGGTGGGTGATGCCACACTCACTAACTCTTTGACCCCATTAGAACATCGTAGAAAAGTCGGCGACCGTTCATTTTTCTATAGATACTTCCACGGGAAATGTTCCTCAGATATCTCTGCTATAATTCCATCACTAACAATAGTCAGAAGAACTCAACATCCCTTCGTCGTCAACCTTGAAAAATGTCGAACAACACTCTACCAGAACTAATACAACGGTGAAGCTTTGGAATTATTTGCCAATGGAAGTATTCCCAAGAACTCATAACCTCCAAAAGTTCAAAAAATAATGTCAACACCTACCTCCTCTCTCCCTTTCCTCCCTAGGTACGCACGATGTTCAACGAACACTATAGGAATTTCCTTTCGTGCGCTCCAAGAGATGAAAGAAATTAAAAAAAAAACGAAGTGGGAATAAATCAATGTACAGGGTAAGGTATCCCATTTTCGCAAACAAAATTTTCATATCCTGCTTCGTTTTTGGGAGACAATCCAAAATTGTAAATATTACATTTTGGGACCCTCCTGTATCTGAGCAATATGTATATCCCAACTATATTCAATTTTTTTGGTTTTGATATCCCAGATTATTATTTGCCATTCTATAAAAAAATTTGTGAACTTCGATAGGTAGTCAGGTGACAGAATTATAAAATATTTTGCACCTACATTTTTTCATAGCCACCTACTAATCAGGTCCACAGCTTTTATAGTAAAATTGAAATTGAAACTAGTGTGTGACAAAATACTGTCAGCAACAAGGTAAACATGGAAATTTGCGATATGGAAAATATTAGCACATAAACTGATCGAAATGAGACATTGGAGACATTTTTCTAAAAAAAATGTGTTATAGCTATCAATATCTATGTCGTTTGCGTTAAAAAATATCCAAATATTATTTCGATTAGTTTATTTACATGACCCATCAATAATAACGAAAATAAAAAAAAAACTTGAAATTTTCTAAATACATGGCCAAAACTTAAAATATTGTGTTATGCATTTTTCAAAAGCGCAAAGCATTCATGTTCTGAATATTCGAAAATATATAGTGTTTTATTGAAAAAAAAAACATAACTTCCTTGTATATCTGAAAATTGACAGGTAATTTGAAAAAACTAATTACGCCACTGGATTCTATTAAAAAATATTAATTGGCAGTTCTAACTTTATCTATAGGTTCGGAAGATAGGTGAGATACAGGAGGGTCTCAAAATGCAACATTTTCAATTTCACCCTGTATCTCAAAAACGAACCTAGCTATGGAAATTTCATTTGCGGGTCGCAAGAAGAACATATGCCCTAAACCTCTTAACCTTCGAGCTATAGGGTGTCAAAATATTAAGAAAAATTTCGTTTCAATATAACTTCAATACTGTTCTAGATATTTTCATGAACTTTGACATGCACTTACTAAGCACCAATAGGCATTTTTTAATGCAGGAGATTTCTTAATATTTCCACCAGTGGCGTCCGTTTGAGATGTATCCTGGAGACTTTGAAAAGAGAATAATGTACGCCCCTGGTTTTTTCAAGAAGAAAACTATTTTTTGAAATCCTCATTTATGTTTATTTATTTAACATCCTAAATTTTTTCCATCCGAGTAACCGTTTTCGCGAAAAAAATTAAACTTTTTGCATGCATTTGTGGCATAACGAAATTATTCTGAACTAATAGAGTGCCCTATTTCGTTTTCAAAATGATGACATTTGATCGATTACGTTGCGTTCTTATTTTGACGTGACAGTTTTTCACATTGTGAAAGTTTCTGTAATCAAAAAAGAGAAAATAAAATTTTAACACTCTATAGTTCAAAGGTTGAGAGGTTTATGGCGTATGTTCATTTGAACTTTTGTTCTTAAAATGAGCTGAGGAACTATATCCTATATTTTCAGCCATCAATTAAATTACACCCTGTATAATTATCAAGCCATTAGCTTTTATCAAGAATTAAAATTCAGGCTCACTCCAAAACATAAATTTTCGATTTGGTCGAAATTTCACCAGAATCGGACAAGAATTAAATAGTTACAAATCAATTTGGCACATTTTTTTGCTGGTCTGTTTTTTCTGCCGGTGAGTGTATATCTCGAAAAGTGCTCAATAACAATCATGAACAAAATAACAGTAGACAAACTATCATCGTCTTTGTCATGTCACAGAATTACGTCGAATTTCGAATTCTGTCATTTGCTATTTCGGATTTCTGATGACAGATGCATGGAAATGTCCCTTCAATGTAATTGCTTACCGCTAAAATCTATAGGGTCCAGAGCTGCAGCTAGAGCATGCCATCGAAACTGGTCTCCATACTTCTCCTTTGGATTCCTCAGCAACACTGCTTGTTCTGGCCTCACCATATGTGACAGCTTAATATTTGGCATCACTGCTATCACCTGGCCGCTCAGGGAGATGTTGTACTTCTTCAATATAGAACTCCAATGTCTCGAAGACAATTTGAGCCATGGTGAATACTCAGGATGTTTGAGTTTCTCAACTCCTTGAGTTTCATTCAGCTGGTAATCGGTATCCACAGGGGTATATGTGACATAATTCACTTCGATAGGCTTGATCGTTACATGAGTTGAAAGCAATCTTATTGACGGATAAGTTTCCAGGTTAGCTTCCGAACTGTTTTCATTTGTTTTCTCATCGAATACCGCTTTCACAACATAGTGGTTCATCAAATCGCTGTTATAAGCTATCATACCAATCCATATGACCATCAACAGCATGAAAGATCGTTGGAAAAATCTTGTACGCGCCCAAATGTTAACCAATTTAACTCTTCTGGGAATCTTTTTATCTTGGACACCCTGTGTCTGCCCAGCTACAATGGTAGCGGGAAAGGATGACAGCCTAGGATGGGATTTCGATCTGATCATCCCTTTCATGCTCAGGTTTGTCTTGTCAAAGAAATTTTGTTGTTGATATATGCTGTTTCTGAAATTTTGATTCAGGTTTTCTATTGAGTTTGTAGTACGGTTCATGTCTAACCCAAGAATAGTCAAGAAGAAGAACATTTGCAGGAAATAATCCGTTATCAATGCCACTATGGAAAAAATGCAGAACTCTTGTATGGCTGGCACAAAAGTGAATAGACCGAAAGTCAGTACTGTTATTTCTAAGAGAAGGTTCTTTGTAATCGACCAGCCTTCTTTGCTCAAACCCTGAGCATTCCTAATCTTGACGTCCAAGTGTAATGGAGTTGCTACCACACTTTTCGTGAGAACAATTACATTTTCGAGGCCAATTAGTAAAGTTAGGTAAGGAAATATACCTTTACCACCTTCGAAGTTTAGAGTGAGTCCGAAGAAGAAACAGATGCCCATGGTCATGGTCAAGTTGGAGAAAATAGTGAAAGTGGCTGTGCAAGCCATACCGAATTTCGACCTTATGAGCTCGATTTTACGTACACAATAATAGTAATAGAGAAAGACGAGGATGAAAGAAACCAAAATTGGCACAAGTTCTATGTAATTGATCTCTCCAGGATACTGTATTAATACTGTATCGTTGAGGTTGTATCCTGTGGATTTATTGTCATTTTGAAAAAGAGGATAAAGGGTCCTTAGTTTTTCTCGAAGTCCTTCTACAAACCTGTAAGATGATACCTTGATTACTTATTATTTTACTGAAATATGTATCTTTATCTTACCGATGATCATATTCTTTGAAAAAGAGAGTTACAGCATATTGGATTATTCTCTGCCTATTTCTAATAGGGTATCTTTTGATGCCAGTATCAAAAAGGTGCATCCCAAACAACATATCAGAAGTTGATGTTTTGCCTTTTTGAAAACTCTAGAAAAAATAACGAATAATCGAAAAAAAAATTCAAATTGCGGCCGATCTGATTCAGATTGAGAATAATCAATCTCAGGATGGGACAGAACAGTTTGCAATCAAGTAAACCTATGCAATAGATAGAATATCAAGTATCAAGAACGGTAAGAACGTTTTACTGGTTGAGACCAGTATGCTTCATCGTTCGTGTCGATTATGCTACATGGTTTCTATGAATGATTCAATGTTGTTAATCAACATGAACAGAGAGTGCGAAATGAAAAAAATATTTGAATAGAGTCACTGGATGGTAATAATTAGATAAGAGTTCGGACACAGAAATGAATTTGGCAATAAGTACTATGAACGTCAGAAATGAAATATAATATCATAAACTATTGAGAAGAAACTATAAATGAAATTGTTCTACTGTGGGAATTCTGAAGAGGATAGATTTCGTTTATTTTATTCGCCAAAAGAAATATCAACCCCATTCTCTTATGGAAGGAATGTATGAAAGGGCCTGGATGGAAAATTGATTTGAACACAAGCAACATTTGTGAGGTACATGCATTAAAATTCACTTTTTATAACAGCAGATTAGTAACAAACTATATTTTAGGCCCATTTTCAAACAGAATATTTTAAGATCCCTTTGAGAAAATCTGCTGTTTCCATATTATTATCATCACACGAAATGCAAAACAAAACTATCATGAAGAAAGAGGAATTGATTGCAAAAGTACGGAATGAAATTGACCATTTGACAGAGTAGAAATGATCTAATGTTTTTGCAAGAACATGTTTCAATTGTGTTTTCTCACGCACAATTCTTGACTACTGGGAGCGAGGAAAATATGGACGCATCCAGAATGAATTGTTTTTCCGAGAACAAGTTCATTTTCATTCAATTCTCCTCCCAACCAAGATTCGAAGGGCGTTCCAGATTTGGGTCACTTTCAAGAAAACTCTAGATCTTTGATAGCCATTTTGAGTCAATTCTGATATTCAGATCTCTTCATCTGAAGTTTTATCTTCAAAATGAGCCTAAGATTTCCAAAATCGGTTGACGTAAAAAAAAGTTATGGCTGCAAAACCAAAAAGTTGATTTTTTGAGATCACCCTGTAAATAAGAGATAGGAAGTTGATTCGCGAAATATCTCGAGGTAATGGGATCATCTTCATGCCTCTGTTGTCGAAGTTGAGAAAAAAAAAAAATTTCACCATTTGAGAGCCTTTTGAATATTCCGAAATTTCGCACAGTGTCGGAAAACACCATGTAGAGATTTTGTGTGAATACCCTTATGTTTCAATGAAGTACGAGATTATAGCTGAAGGACTGGGCTATCGAACAGTGTGAACCAAATTCAAATTGTTCTAAACTGAAAAAAGTTATTCACATTATAACAGAAGCGACATTTTGGTGTGCGACGAAATTAGTGTTGAGTAGTTTAGAAAACAGAAAAGGGCAGAAGAACAGCTGTGTCCGAACTCTTATCTACTAATACCATCCAGTGACTCTACATCTGAACATGATTCGGACTATATGGGCTGATTCATTGAGGATGACACATTAGACGGTTTAGGTGAACCAGACAACAGATCACTTTGAAAGTTTAATGAAGACCATATTCGGAAGTTCTCTACCCAATTATATTTTCGACAATGCGGTGTTGCCACTTCCATCAGAAAGTAGTAGCAACTTTGATGTTTGAAATGGAACACCCTGTAAATAATAATATTTTTGAATCTCCAACAATTTCTCAACAACGTTTCTTGATATTTCCCTATAGCCTGTTGCCGTTTTAGAAATGAAAATTAATTTCAATTTTTTTCTTCGAAAATCATGACCTGTAAAAATGCAGATATCTTTTACTTAAGAAGTACATAATAAGATTTCGAAATTTGGTTTGGAGTTAGAAGATACTTGAACCTGCCGTTACTCCAATACAGGCTGGTATAAAATACAGTTATTTCGTTTGCTTGAAGAAGTAAATGAAAGTTGATTAATTTCAATAATATTATCGGAAATTCGGAAAGATGCTGAAATTTTCTTTCTATGTAGATCATACATATACCTAACTTGTCAAGTTTCGGACTTATGAGCATTAATTTGTGAAAATGAAGAGGTTATCCCCATTCAGTATTTGGTAAGCAGGCTATGATTACTATTCCACAGTAACATTGTGACATTCTCCTAATAATATCTACATTCTCGTCACTTCAGAAGTTGCAAATACTTTCAAAAACGATGTTATAACGAAATATATATAAGTTGCTGCGTGATCAAAACAACACATTGTATTAGGTAAGGAATGTTGAATTTTTTTTATTTGGCTCAAAATTAAATATTCGTGACTTATTTCTATTTTTCAGTGGACTCCCCTGTATAATTACTTACCTTTCAATTTGGCTAAGCAACCAGTAAATGTAACATACTGTTATAGAAATAGATGCGGTTAACAATACAGGATATTTGAAATTGATTAATTTCAGATAAGATATCAATTCCTTTGATTGTATTAAACACAAATTAACAGGAACCAAGATAAATAACATGTACAGGGTGTCCCAAGTTCGAGGGGTATCATTGGGATCTCAGTAACCATAACAGATACAAAGTCGGTTAAATCAGGGCAAAGTTGTGCAAAAGTGTGGAATATTTCCGGACATATGGGAAAAAAACTAATATTGTTAAGGATGTTTTTCTTAATTTGATAAGCATTTCAACATGACTTTATCCTATACAGTGAATGAATTCTGAATATTTATTTTTACTTTGACATTGAATTGATGCAAGTCCCAAATCAAATGTGATCAGTTTCAATTATTTGATTGAGTCATTTTTAAAAAGGAATATTCTCAGATATACCGGGTGACACTGACTCATGGTATACCCCCTTTTTGTTCTTTGTTTTTGTAGCCATATATCTGAAATTTTGAACATCGAATATATTCACTAGACTTAGAGGGCACTATCTCACATTTTAGGATTTTTTTCACATCGTCCGGTTATTCTGGAAATGACATCAACTTTCGATTTTCAAATGGAACACCCTGTATATTATTCCATAATCGGTTAGAGATTATTATAACGAATTCAACAATACCGGGTTTGATTGGGTTATTTCGAAGGATTACGAAGATATTCGCGTTCGAAGTTTCCATAAGCTGAATGAGTGTGACAGAGTGAGAAGATTTGATATTGCGCCGTCACACCCATTGAGTTTATGGAAACTGCGAACGTATCTTCGTAATCGTTGAAAATAACCCAATCAAACCCGGTTTATAATAATCTCTAACCGATCATGGAATTAAATACAGGGTGTTCCATTTGAAAATAAAAAGTTGATGTCATTTCCAGGAAAACTGGAAGATGAAAAAAAAAATCCTGGAATGTGAGAAAGTGTTCTCTAGTAAGCATATTATTTGATGTTCCAAATTTCAGAAATATAGCTGGATATATACAGTGTGTCCCACTTATCATGCTCACCATGGGTATCTTTTTAACGGTGAGAGATACGAGGTCGGTTAAATGACACCAAATGTGGAGTTTGTCTAGGCCAACTATAATGTGAAAAAATATTTTGATAAAATCTATTCGTTTTTGTATCACACGCAAAAAACAGATTTTGATCATTTTCATGTCTCCTCCGTAACTTCTTTATTTATGAAAATATTCAAATAGGAATTTCACATTCTCATGGCAGTTTTTCAAAGTGATTTCGAAAACAATATGAAATTTATACCAACTCTTCTAGAATTTGAGATATCAGCACCAACTTTAGTTTTTCAAATGTAGGTCATAGCTCACTATGACATAGTTACAAATAACTTTTTTTTCTCTCACAGATGATATGTCGCAGTAATAGTTTTGTGTTGATAACAACGGAGTTATCGTCATTTAAACAAAAACAAAAAATTATATGGGAGCCGCCATCTTGAATTTATAAATTTCAGCAAAAAAATCATGATCTCCGACCTCAAAAACCCCCACTTACCAATTTTGAATGGAATCGGACCAAATCTTGTCCAACATCTTGGAGCAGCCATTTTTTTAATTTCAACAAAAATTCCATAATGTATTGTCACCGAAATTATGAACACCTGCCAAATTTCAAGTTAATCGGAGTTATATAATTTTTGTTGACATTAAAAAAAATGGCTGCTCCAAGGCGGCGGACAAGATTTGGTCTGATTCCATTCAAAATTAGTGAGTGGGAGTTATTGCGGTCGGAGATCATGATTTTTTGTTGAAATTCATAAATTCAAGATGGCGGCTTCCAAATAATTTTTTGTTTACTGCGACATATCATCTGTGAGAGAAAAAAAAGCTTTTTGTAACTATGTCATAGTGAGCTATGACCTACATTTGGAAAACTATAGTTGGTGCTGATATCTCAAATTCTAGAAGAGTTGGTATAAATTTCATATTTTTGTCGAAATCACTTTGAAAAAATGCCATGAGAATGTGAAATTCCTATTTGAATATTTTCATAAATAAAGAAGTTACGGAGGAGACATGAAAATGATCAAAATCTGTTTTTTGCGTATAAAACAAAAACGTATAGATTTTACCAAAATATTTTTTCACATTATAGTTGGCCTTGACAAACTCCACATTTGGTGTCATTTAACCGACCTCGTATCTCTCACCGTTAAAAAGATACCCATGGTGAGCATGATATGTGGGACACACTGTATATAGCTATAATTATCATTATTATTATCTTTATTATTATTATTATTAGCATCAATATTATTATTATTGTTATTTTTAGTGCAATTATTATCATCAACTTCATTATTGTTATTATTATTAATATTTAACTTATATTCATTATCTTCTTGTAACAATTATTATTATCACTATACTCCAAAATGTTTTTCTGTTTTTTGTCTCTCTAACATTGAATTGATCAGAGTAGGAATATATTGTGGGCAATACAAAGGACCCCGCACTTTTTCTATATAAAAATGGCGTTCCGTCGAATTTCCCCAATTTTTGGTAAATGATA